AAAATGGAAATCCGGAATCCGACCATAGAATTATTTCTAAAAGACGGCAATAAAAATAAACCTACAATACGAGGATGAACACCCTGTATGGTATTTTACACACTCGAGGTGACTGCTAGAGTGTGTACATATAATAATATATATTGTGCACTGACTATGTGACGGCGGCGTATATTATTAGTGTAATATATCGTTCATTTACACGTCGTATGCGTATATTACGCGAGCGAGTGTGTTTGTGTACCTATACGTATAATATGTGTAGCGTCGTTTTAAATAACACCATATATTATTATACTCATTCGCGTGGTTCGGTGTATATCGTATATGTTTATGCGTAGCGCAAGTATTGTATATGCATTCGCGGGACAAAAATGGCCGATGAATTGAAGATTTATGCGACTATTGATCGTTTATATATTCTTCTCATTACCTACGTCTGCCGCGCCAGTATATATTATATAATACGAGTATATTATTCGTATTATTATTATACAGGCACGTGTAGTGAGCGTGTCATCCGCGTCATTAATCTGTAACTAACTAAGCGAAGAACAAATCGATTTTTCCAAAACCATATATGCTATCGTCATGATAATTATATGTATCATCCATATATTATACCATATCCATATAAGTGTGACCTACAGTTCGGAAACTGCAAGCTAGCGTGAAGGTCGTAGCCGACTTTATTACGAGTTTTGGCTAATGTATTTTTAATAATCATAATATTATATACCACCGTTATGCAAATAGAAGTAGAATGAAACATAATAAGTAATAATTGGAAATTCAAAACCTCGGGCCATAATCGATAGGTACCGTTAATTTGAAAATGAAAACAATACAAGATAATATAGGTAACCTATACTGGAAAAATAATGCTACCTATACTAATAATATCATCAAATCAATGTCACTATGTCAGGGGGGCAGTTGGAATGAAAAATATTTCTGCTAAGTCGATCGTTTGAAAAACAAACAACTACAAGTGTCACGGATCATACTATATAGTTCTACTTGATAACTGACTACTTAAAAATATTATTAATAATTTATAATATGGATATGTTTAATTCATAATATTTTGGGTTTTATCAATTGAAAATGAGTATAATTTTATCACATAATTCAGAGTTTTCGAAAGTTTTATATTTTGTTGTTTCATTTTATTCTATAAAAATAAACCGGTCATATAATATTCTAAACAAAATAACTATTATATTTTTATATTTTATTATTTATCTGTCCGTAGTTTGCTAGTTATTTATTTAGTACATTTTAGGATTTGATTTGGGGGGGATATGAACCCCTAACCCCCTCCCCCTATGGCCTATATACACCACTGAAGTTTCATAATATAGTTAACTACATATACCATGTTGGTATTAATAAAGTGTATTTATTTTAAATTCCGTCTATGATGTATTATGGGTATTACTATTATCATATTATTATACAAAAAGAGACTTAAACGCTGAGACGTCTTCTTTTATTACTCTTACAATTTATTTTCATCATAATAATATATTATTATTGAATTCGTTTTACGTAGGTAATCAGTGATAACATTGCAGTGCACACTATTATAAACCTATTATACAATAATTGTCGTTCAAACTTGTTTTTCAAAACAATAAACCACGCAAGAATACATGTATAATATAATATATTACATAGTTAAATTATGTATTATTTCATATGATTTTAGATTCTGAACGGGGAAATGAACGTATTGGTTTTATAAACCGGATTTTTTTATTCTTCGTCGTTCTGGACATTTTGCTATAAGAGTTAGCATTAAATTGCTCATATGTGACATTATAATATGCGATAGTCGTGCGTCTGATTGTACCTACATATGCGAGCTGACTGGAAACAAATGGAGTTATGCAAGTTCAAAGAGTAAATAATATTATTATAATATTATGGTTCTTATATGTGACGCGATCGCATCGTATATATAAAATACATTGTGCTAAATATAGAAAACGTTTGCACAAATACTATCGTCTGAGATTTGATATTCTAACGTGTGCAAAAATAATTTGTTTTATTTTTAAACCCTGTAATATCATAAGAAAATATTTATTACCTTATATTTCTATACGCGATATCATTATGATAATTATTATAGTTCATAACTTGGCAGTATGTATTCGTAGTATCTGATAACCAATTTATGAAACGTGTTATTAATAAACCATTATTCGGTGCACGTGTCTGGTACATCTGATACATCAATCGCTCCAGTTCTCTGCTGCAGAGTCATAAAAAGAGTATTATATTGGTATTTATTTTCACGTGGTATGTATTAATTAAGCCGATGTCACTGATATCTGTGGTACAGGAATATTGGCAGATTCCGGGTTAAGGTCCGACCAACCGCCTAAATGGCGAGGACATGATAATACTATACAATATTTTAACAACGATTTTGAATCTACGGAATGCGCTTAGAATGTAATAATAATATAAAATATATCGTATTAATTTTATTGGATTTTGACATGCGCGTGGTATGCCGAAGGTCGGTGGTTCACGGAAAAAATCGGATATTTTTGCTCTCTTGTAAAATATATCATCGTGCCGTCCGCTAATTTATATAATATATTAGCATAATTATGCTAAGCGCTGTGCTTTGTTTTATTTTGTTTGAAATGGTTGTTTGGACGTATCGTTGTGCAGGATTAAAAGTGTGTGGTTTATGGTTTTGTTGACAAAATCGTTGCTTTTTACTTTTTAGGATGAAGATTTTATACAATTAAATTCTAAACATAATTTATGACTGGGTAATTAACAATAATGTTCATAACAGCTTTTTGTACACACACACACACACACACACACACACACACACACACACACACACACACACATACACACATACACGTGTACGTGCGTACGTGCGCGTGTGTATATGTGTGTTTATACTATACAGACGCAGTACCTATAGGTATACTTATATTATTATAGGCACTAAACAAATTACAATTTAATGTATGTATTTATCGACCGTGCTATGCCGAATTCTTCAGCTTGACTTTTGAGTGTACGGTCTGCGGAGTACCACCTGTGCACTGTATATTTTGTATTTATTCGAACTGTTGCATAATATGTAATCAACAATATTCAACATAGACAACATATCATATATAATAATAATATATTCTGGAATGTTCAGATTTTTTTTTTTTTATCAGTACTTTTATTTCGAGTAATTATTTTGAGAGCCGTGAATATAACGTGGATATAAAGTGCATATTTAAAATGTTTAAATTTACTTCAATTTTATTCCGGTATTCTTTTTTATAATGTCTCCAACTCTCTACATCGAAATATATTAATATTTAATAGTCAAAACAGAGAAAACAATTTTGCGTGTAGTTAATTGAATGGTATCAAAGCGAGCTCTGCCGTAAATCGAGAAATTTAAAAAAACTTATAAGACAATGCTACAAGCCTTGATGGCAATTAAGTTGAAGGATCAATTTCTGATAATTGCCCAAGTGGTATTTGTTGACTAGTTTAAATTTACTATGAAAATATTTGAGTACCTATAATATAAATTATAGGTTTATTCGTCATATTGATTATTTAGATAAAATAAAACATTTCTGTGATTGAATATAACATGCATGATTATAATAGTTTAATTTTCCTAGTGATATATAATGAATATTAATATTTAATAATTGTTATAGACAATACACATCGAACGTTTATTATTTTAATTTTTATATTTTATTGTAGAATCGGTTGAATAAACTGAAATACTTATTATAAAAAGTTTGAATGTCTCAAATATCAGTTGGTATTAGCTTATAACCTATATTGATTTTCAACAGGAATAAATAACTGTTGTAACTTGTACTGACTAGATCAAAAGTATTAATAAATACATTAGTACATTATAAATAATATTCGTGTAACGGTGTAACGTAGTTACATATCGTGTTATTATCGATATTTTTTTTAGTAGTTTATACCAAAAGTATATTTCCTTGGTAATAATATGATTGGATTGTTGTGAAACCAATATCGTACGAATTTCTTTCAGTTACCTACTTGTTGTTGCCGAAATTCTACACTATGCGCATAATAATTGTTTTATAACTCGTTCAAACAAGTGTCGGATGGAAAAAGCAATTTATTGTTAAATTTCGACCGTGAGAACGCAACAATAATAATGATCATAATAATATATAAATATACACTGTGTACTATGCAAACGATAGGGAAATCGGTGATATTTGTGAAATAATGCCGAACAGTTGGAATATCTCTTTTTTTTAAATAACGGTAGCTATACTATTATTTCCACTTTTTACATGCACTATGAAAATCTACCAGCGACCATAATGAAAAATAAAAACGATACATTTCAACTGAAATATTATAAGTGTATTAAACTTTGTATAGATTTAAAAAAAAAATAAAAATTTAATTCCGTAATCCGTTTGAAGTGTTTGAACAAAATTATGTTGATCTATAGACTAAAATAATTATTATAATATTGACACTGCCAATATGAAGTAAGCTATTTCATTGGTTTAAGAAAACGTGCCTCTGATCTATCACCTAGCCGTGCCCACAATGCATCGGTACAATATTATTACTTTGTTCAAAGACGAGTCGTGTTATTATCATTTTTTTTTTTCGCCCGCTAATTCCGGCGTTCCGAGTAGACAACCAAACTCGCGCTCGCGTGACAACAGATGCGAAAAAAAAACTACGTACAACGCGCTTAGGTCGTATAATATAATAATAATATTATTATTATTATTATTATTATCGTAATACGCGAACGAAGCTATTTATTTAAGAGATTGTCGTCGTCGATTCAACGGGGGGGTCGGTGTGGGGGGGAGGCAGTGGTGACGAGACCAGTCAGTGGCGACGGTGGTGGTGGTGGGCACGTCGCCGCCGCCGCAGCAGCAGCTGATGGCGCTACGTAGGAAAGTTGTGTAAGAGTGTATTACACTGGCCGCCGCCGCCGATCAGAATTCAGAAGTGGTGGTCGTGCCATCCCGTGCAGTCGCGTTCGCAACTCTCTCCGGTCGTCGTCGCCGCCGCCGCCGAACGCCGCCGTAGCCGTCGTATTCGCCGTCTGCGTTTTTTTTACCCACGTGAGCGATCGCTTTTCTACCATAAAATCGAGTAAAGATATTTTTTCCGTCGTGCGTTTTACACAATATTGTTACAATACTGCGCTTTTAAATTTTTTTTTCGCGTTCGTTAATAGTAAAATTTTTTGAGGCGAAAAACCGTGCCAAAGCGCCCCTAAGTAGAAATACATACTTGGAATTCGGCTATATATATACCTAGCACACAGTCCAACGGATTTCACAACGTTAACAATCCGCTCGGTAAGTCCGCATACCTCCTATAAATACTTAATCGTCTTACAATAACACTGTTATTTATAGTCGTAGACGTTGTAGAACCATAGGGGTGAAGGGATGATGAGCTCTCTCTGGGTGATATTTGTGTTGTAAGATTGAAATGCACAAGAAAGTTTTTAATTTTTTCATCTTAGTTGCACATGATGATTTATCAGTATCTTGCGCAGTTTCTTTCAGTACTAATGTAGTAATTACTAACGCAGTCTTCATTTCATCAAGGAAATTGAATTCATTTTCAAAAATATTCCATGCATCTATTCGAAATATCCCATATGAGTACACACAATACATACGAGGGTAGAGTATTAAATTCTATTTAAATTAATTTCTGTCTAAATCGGGTTTTAGCAATCACTTAATTATTATTAATAGCTCCGCAGTATTACGAGGGTTGAAAATTATTAATTGTTTACTGTGGGAACTAATTTTTTCAACAGATTTCTAATTTCCATCAGTATTAGGTTATGTGATTACTTTTTTATTAAAATAACATTGTTGCAGCGATTACAAAGTTTTTAAATGTAATACATAAATCTTCACACGCTGCACGGTCTGCTGTTTCCTGGGTTCCACATAATATAAAAGATAAAAAAATAAAATAGAATCCGTTTGAGCAGTATTACATAAAACTAGATTAAATAGTGTTTAGTTACTTTATACTTCATACTCCGTAAATCAAATGGAAAAAGTGATAGTCCCACATTAAATAAATCAATATTTGTTATCAGATTAGGTAAATCTGGGGAGATTAACTGTTTAAATGTTTTCAATGTAAAATAATATTTATGATGCAATTAATAAGGTACTGTGTAATTTGTCGGTTTAAGTTTTTATACTTTTATATTATAACTCGTAGAAAACCAGTGGTTTTATTTTTTTCGATTACTCTCGCATAGTGAACGTAACTGCAGTGTTACTATACAGTTGTTGAGTATATAACTTAATCAACGCCTCAAGGCTCGTATAGTCGTATTCTTACTTTTATTGACCGTACAGTGTGTATACACCTATACATAACATAAAAATAATATAACGACAGCCGCACCGCAGTTAGGTTTACACAATAACTATAAGGCGGCTTTCCAAAAACACAAAAACAAACAATTAATAAATAAATAAACAAACATGGTCTTGCCATGTATTTTAATATTGAACATTTTTTCGTTAGATTTTATTATTTCCCGGACAACTCGGCGCGTCTCGTGTTGAACTCGAACCTGTACCTCAACGTTGCTGGGGATTTATTATATCAAAGCCTAGGCACAATGATCTCCCGTAGTGCACATCGCGGCGTGCGTTTTGTCTTCCGATCAAAACATTTCGCATACTATTAGACATTCAATTCGATTATAACAAAACAGCGTTTAAAACGCAATTAAGGCGGACCTAATCGTTTTTTTTTTACATACAATCATCAAAATATTATATCGTGACACCCGTCTGGCTATCCGAGTTCAATCGTATTCTAGGCCAGATGCATAGACTTGCAGTGTACCGTTCATAATAAATACTTTAAACAATCTATTTTATCTACCGAACTTTGATTTGTTGGAAATAAATTAAAACGACAATGATTTGTCTGAATATTGTTTATACACACCTGTTGATCGAATCGAACCGAAGTGTTTTCACAAGTGGCATAAAACCACTATAATAAGGGGCGAGTAAAACGTGTTTTTGAACACCGTAATAAATTACCTATATGTATATTGTACACACACACTTTTATGAACACTAATTCTCACTATTATCGTCTCTAAAAGTTAATTAATCGTTACATTTTTTTAAACCTGAGAATTGTACATAATACTTACATCTAAATGTAATTTTACAAGGTTATATTAATATAGTTGGGTTCTTTAAAAATTGATTATTATTTCCAGACTATAAATATAAATTATATAATATACATTAATTTATTTTAATTATTAAATTTATAAAATGTTAATAAATATTTTAAGACCGAAAGAGATATAATCACGTTATTCACATGTTTAAAGGTACGGACCAACATTAAGTAATAATGGTAATGTTGAATATATTCATGAAACAAATTTTTCCTACACCATTACTAATAATTTGTATGTTTGAGTTTTGATTAAATCATATTATGAATTACTTGTGAACACTGTATAGTATTATTTAATAAACATAACCAACAATCATACTACTCGAAATAATACGCACGCGGAGATGTTATTGATGATTAGAGTTTACTGTGTACTGCTTCTTACGACTACTCCACCTATTTGTTCAAACTAAATTATTCAATAAACTGTATAAAACGCATCAAGGTAACCAAAAACATTGAGTTGGACACGCTGGTCGCGGCTAGTCGATTATTGAGCTACTTTCAAGTACAACGTCAAGTGATCGGCATTGATTATTAGTTATCACTATTATTATTACTATACCGAGACTGGTTGTGTATAGTTCAACGGCAAGTACGTGCATGTATACAAGCACTGTACAGTAAAGTAATTGGCCAAACATAATTACATAGAAAATAATGGCAATGAGGTCGGATTGAAATTGTTTTTATGGTTTTTGACGTGTAAAAAAAAAGTCGCCGGTATAACATAAATAATTGTCTAATGCCGTGCCCCCCTTCGCTCTATTAAAAGTGCCATCGTTTTCGATAATAATATCAGACGACGATATTCGTGTGCAGTCAACTAAGTGACTAGACGTCCTTCGGTCTTCACGTTTTCGTATCCGTTCGTCAAACGTATAGGTAGCCGTCTAATGGTACCTATAATATTTAATAGTGATAGGTATACAATAAATGCATTCCGATCGATTTCATCGATCCGGGCGTCGGTGTATTGGTGTAAGACAAACAACATTATTATTTTGGCATCGGTGGTTATCGCGGCGTGCAGTATAAAGTATTATAATCATGTAGAAAACAGAAGTAATTCGAATCGTTTGCGGACGCGATATACGCTCGTATTTGTAGAAAGCAGCTATTCCGCGGTATAGTCATGGACTGTGCAGCATATATACCATAGATACCTATATAAGAACATTTAAAATAAACGTTTTAGTTTTGAAATTCACAGCCCGTCCAGCTGTATAGGTATACACACGTATTAATACATTATTGTATACCTAACTCGGGAGTATCTGCCGCAGCGGTATCATGATGGGCATTGCATTACGGTAAACTTTCCGGTTCGATATTATTCCGATCACAGTCGCTCCTCGGGTCCCAAATCACGTACTTTTACCTACCCATTGCTAGGCGTACCCATACACACAGTATATATAGGTATGTTGCGCTGTGCACATGACGTTGCTTGGCCACGATACGTGCGCCGTGAACGCGACATGTCCTCCGTTCCCACACTTGCTCACAGAACCCCGAAAACAATCGCTGCTTATAATATAATATAATATATTGTGCATTTGTATACGTACGGATATAATATAATTTATGTACGTAAGGCAATATTGTATGGCGTACCGTATTGCGCACGAACGCGATTAATTATTATTCAGAGCAGTGGATGATAAAACGTCGTCTGGTGCAACTTGTGTATGGTGTATTATATTATTATTACGTAGGTACCTATATATTATATTATTTACTCACTGTACAATCAGACGACGTATCCTAGGCAATACCACATGCGTCCACATATATATGCACATGTAAGTTGGAAAAAAATTATTTTTTTTTTAACTTTTGAACTTAACTATATATATAGTTATTTAATTATCTAATTAACTTAAGACATTAACTAATTTCAAGTTGAAATAACTCTTCTTTTTTCAGTTGGTTTAAAAATAATCCAACAAACTAAAATTTTTGTTGTTGACATTTTTGGTTTTAATAATATGATCGTATACACTAATAGCTAGGTATAATATAGGTTTACGTATGAGGTACAGTTTTAAATAGAAGTAATAGGTATAATAATTAAATTTAATAATGTAAGAATTATAATTATTATTTAGTTTTCTATTATGTTTCTTGATAAAATAAAATTTTACATAATTGTATAGGTACCTACAACAATTTTTTTGGTGATCTATGTGCTATTTAAAGTATAGTAGATTTTTAAATTGATTCAAGTTAATATTTTTTTCCATGCATTATCTTTAAGTTAAGTGAATTAAATTTATTATTTGTTAACTATTAACTTCTAACTTAATCATCTTGTGTTCACTTAAGTCAATTCTTTAACTTTCCTACCTTTCCATGTATTAATATGTATAATATTATAATTTATAACCCGCAGACCTGTCAGCTATCGGTGGCGTTTTTCGCGGTGACGACGTATTCAGGTATAGGCAGTATTTAATCTTTTACCGTTTATTACAAGTCATTATAATATTCTAACTAGTCATATTATACTGTACAGTTCACGTGCCGAAAAAAGATATTATGATTTTTGACATTGTTGTCGCGTGTGGTCATCGTACCACCGGAACAAAGGGCAAACCGCGAATGCTGCCACTTTAAGTACCTACATGAGTTCACATTATGGACGTGCGCGTATAACAATAATGCGGCTTTGATATAGTATACATCGTCGTCGAAGTCTCATTACCAGACCTGTCCTTTTCACAAACGCGCGTGTAGACTGACGGAGCGTTTAAAAAGCAATACGCGGCGGAAGGAATGAAAAAAAAAACCGATAGTGTGTGCGTGTGGAAAGAAAGAGTGTGTACAAAATACGTATCGAGTAAAAAAGAATAACTGATGGTCTTGTTAAGAACGCAAACAAGATGCGAATGGGGAAAAAAAACCGTGTGCTAATCGAGTCAAGGTTGCCGTGGGTAAAAAACGCGTGGTTCACGCACGTCCTGCGAACACGACACATGTGTTGTAGTTGCGGTGTGTTTGGATAAGGGAAGAGGTCGGAAAACCGAATTACACGCGCGGAATCTGTCGTGAATAATAATCAGCTGTGTATATATACGCGTGTAGAGTCGGGAAATTCGTCCGGCAAAACTGC